CATGAAACAGACTCAGCAACCGTAAAATGGATGCATGCCTCCTTATATCAACAAACAGAAAAGATAAGGGCAAAATGCAGCTACTAAATGAACACCTGAAGATAAGCTTCATTATTTGTTTGGTTGTTTATGGAAACCATTGTGCTAGTACTTGTTTTTTCTTTTCCTCATAACACTGGGAGGATCCTTGATGTTTGGGAAAAAAAAAAGTGCTGTGATGATGTTTTGATTGAAGTGTAAAAAATAAAGGAGAGAATGGACTCTAAAGATTGCTACCAGCCCTGCTTTCTTATGGTCCTATATCCTCTGTGATTTCTACTTCTGCTCTCTTCTTTATCATGTTTTGTCACTATTTATGGTTCTCTTTCTTCCTGTTATTAAAACGAAATAAATAAATAAAATCAATAAAATAAATAAAGATAAGTTGTAGGTGCAGCAAATACTCCTCAGCAATGTTTAGATCAGAAAAAAGAGCTCTTCCATCTCTCAAACTGTGAGGATAATTTAGCTTGCTTGTACAGACTTGATAGATCCACTGTTCAGAGGCTTGTGTTCTTTCTCTTATTTTTCACTGGTCCATCTCCATTTCCCAAAATACTGTGCCTTTTTCCTGTAATTTGCCAGCTCTTTGAGCTCCAAGTTGCCTGCCCTTTGTGCCTCTAACACTGAGGATGCTTCCCCACTTCCTCTTCTGTTATTCAGTTTGTTCTTGCATTTTCTTGCTTTCCTGTCACTGCCTTCTGCCTGCCATTTTCCTCCACACAAAAATACCTTTTCTGCTTTTAAAGTAATTAAATTAGCAGAGCTGATTGAAATCTAGGTGAAGTAAATCTCTGAGCAGTGCTTTTCAATGGATGCATTACTCAATGTACATTAGCCAACCTCCTGTAGGCATCAGTGAATGACAGAAATTAATATTTGATGAATATATTCAACAACAATAGCATTATTCAAACACTTCACTCAATAAAGTACATTCAGCACGCTCAGAAGTTAATGGTGCATTCAGGTTACTCTGTTTGCTCAGCAGAACACGTGCCCAGCCCCAAGGGGGAAAATCAAGTCACTGATACATGTGAGGGAAACGGGGTGGGAAGCCTCTTCTGGTCATTTGTGCCTCTCATGAGCAGGACAAAGTGTACGTGTATGTTGGTGGGGGTGTTTAAATCCCATATAGGGAATAAAGGATGTATGTGATGAGGAAGAGAGATTATTGGCTCTATTTCCAGACTGGCAGATCTTGTTTTCATGCTTACCACTCACACTTCAGCTAGTAATGAGAAAAATCAACATATTTCTAATCTTCAGTTCAAACTGGGGTGTGCATGTGTGTATTGAGCAGGGGGTTGAAGTAAGTCTAACCACAAATCCCTGCTTTTCACTTCTTGCTCCATTTAATGTTTCCTTGAGTACTTGGTGCAAATAAGCTTTCTTCTACTGTTTAACTCTGTCTAATGCCTCCTTGGTAATTTCCAGTAGAGGCCAAGTCTCTTTTGTGGTCTTTATGTCCACAGTGCCAAGGGGATCCCCCTTTAATGCCTTTGTAATTTGAGTAATTTCATTTTTAGCTTCAGCATTGGACATTACCCCAACACAAATTGATGTCATCTACATTTCCCACAATCTACTCAATTTCTTTAGCTAGATTCCCTTCTTGACTCCCTTTGTTTCTTTCTGTACAACTTTTTCTGAACCTTCTCCAGATTCTAAGGTTAAAATCTCTCCTTGGTTGCAAGGATTTGGATCACACTTTTCCTCTCTTGTCCTTACATTAGCCAGAATATAATTTTGCTAAAGCATCATGCCCCAACACTACTCAGCGTCTGCTGCCATGTGTACTGCCACTTCTTGAAGCGTTAAAAAAATACCACTGTCATATTTTTCCTACTGCCCAGCTATGTGCTTACTGGATGATTTTTCTTTTTTCATTGTCTGAATCCTCACCTTGCTCCGAATTTCATACAGCCCACTTAATGTGTCTTCTCTAGCCTGAGCTAACTTGACCCCTCATCAGTCTTGTGCCTGTGCTGTCCCTCTCTTGTTTTCCTGTTGAGTAACTCCTTGTCTTTGAAGTCCATTTTCTTTTTTTTTTCCATTCCATGTGTTCTTTGCAATGCTTCAGTGAATTAATTGTATTTTCAAAGGATGCAAAAGCATCAGTTAACGTCCACATCTATAGCAACAGTGGTCATGAAGCAAACATAACCTTTCCAAAGCACATTTGCAGCTCCTTTGAACAGGGGAGCTGTGCTAGTTACAAACAGTACTACAAAAGAGGCTCTGTGGCCCTTTAGGTTTGAAGCTGAAAGTTGTTCTCTACAGCCATTTCTCATTATCAAGTTAAGGCTGCAACTGGAAAAAATATAACCAAAGTTCTGCAGACCTCTGGCTGCAGAAGCGCTGTGGGCCACAAAACTGAAACGCAGTCCTTCAATAAATTTTCGTTTCTCTTCAACAGAGCACACAGACCAGGAAACGCTTTCAGTTCTGTGGAATCCCTGATGCCTTATTACTAAACATCTAGGTAACAGAATGTGTTGCTCTCTTTCAAATTAGCTTTGCAGGAATTTCATCCATCCAATCTTCTGTCTGGCTGGAATTTGCCCCTTGCTCAGGATCTGTTGACTTTAGTCAAATTCCTCGTCCCTGTTTTGTTTGGTTGGGACTTCTTATTCTCCTTTATATTGTTCTTCTCAATGTGGGATTGGCAAAGAAAGTGTAAAGTTGTTCTTTTCTAATCCCTTCTGCTGCTCAGTTAAGGAAGTAGCAGCTCAGCTTTGGGAAAAAGAGACCTCGAGGTAAATTTCTCAATCTGTATTTCGGGATAACCACGGCCTGATTTCCACCAGTGTTGGTTCCCACTGACTTTTGTGCCTTGCTGGTGACCCAGCATATCTTTCATTTCTGTTCACCTGGAGGCTCAGAACTGGTGGAACTCCAGCCATGGATTGATAGGTAGAATCAGGCTTTTTACATTAGAAAAGGATGGTGCACTTATAGTGGCCATCAGCAAAAGCCCCCTTGCAGCCACGCTTGCTTTCCATGGAATAACAAAATTCATAATTCCCTCCAACAGTCCATGTGCACATCTTAAAGCCTCAGAAGAGGCCTCTTGAGGTTTTCCTTCAAAACTCCAGAGGACAGCTGATCCACAAGATGCACATGCATGTGCTAACATTGCTCAGTGAATGCTTTGTTTCCTTGCCTGTGATTTATTATATAGTGGTAATATATACCACTGGTGGTGGTGTGTTCATGTTTGCTGTTCAGCTCCTTTGAGACTGTTGTGACTGTGCATTGCTTATTTAGAAAGCATTAAAGCCTTGAAGCTCATGTCTTCAAAAGTTTGATTTAAACTTCTGCTTGAACTCTGTTTGTGGAAGACAGGAATAGCTCTTTAATGAAAAAGTAACCACACTGCCAAACATATTTAAAAGCACAGGAGCATATGTCTGAAAGGATATAAGCTGGCATTTCCCTGTTATCTTTTTTATCTGCAGCATAAAGGAGTAGCTTGGTAACCATTCTTGGCAGTATAAATCAGGAATATATAAATTTCTGCAGCTGCCCCTCAGCTCCTCAAGCTAGTGCTGAGCTCTGATGGTAGCAATGCAGGACTATCCAAATAACCTTGCTTCCCTGCAGAAGCCTGACCATAGGACTGCAGAACGAGGGACAGCAAAAGAAGCAGTGAGCTTTCCATGTGTGTTGAGCCTTACAGAATCACAGAATCATTTAAGTCAAAAAAGACCTCCAAGATTGAGTCCAACCTTTGACCAATGCCCACCTCATGGTCAACTAGACCATGGCACTAAATGCCTCATCCAGTCATTTCTAGAACACCTTGAAGGGATGGTGACCCCACCACCTCCCTGGGCAGCCCATTCCAGTGCCTGAATACCTTTTCATGAAGCTTTGTGATGCTGCAGCTACAGCAGGGTCAGTGGGATTTGTGTGTGCCACTGCAGCCACAGAGGGGTCCATTTTCTCTCCTGCTAGGCAGAGCTTGCAGAAGCAGAAGTTGCCATGAGGACATTAAATGACATAACACATGGAAACTTCTGATTTCCATCCTCACCTCATGTCTCCCAGCTACTCTGTGTGCCAGGAATGCATCCACTTTTTGCTCTTACAAACAAAGGAGCTTGATACCGCCAAGGATACAGTCAGACCCGGAGATGGGCCAGGTGCAAAGGTGACTGAATATTCTGGGTGGGTACCTCAGGTCTCCTTTTGACTCTGATGAGTCTCCCTGCCAGTGGCTCCTTAGGTAGCTCTTCCAAAAGAAGTGTTCTAGAGTTAGGACAGGGGAAGGCTTGTGCAGATAAGCAACTGTAACACACATGCACACAAAATGTGCACACATATTTTGGAGTAATGGTAAGAAATACGACAAATAAAATCCAATGAAGCAGGAAAATATTTAAAATATTGCGCAAGTTTACCCAAAAGTTAGACCACAGACAAAAAGCAATCAATTTGCATTTTTGCAGTCAACTTAGTATGGGACACTTGGTTCCTATGCATAAATGTGAAAGTGAAATCTGACTTGACTGTGTGTAGTATCTGCATAACTGACAGGGCTAAGTTGAGTGCAATTCAGTGGCAGTGCCGGCCTGAACTTGCCAGAGAAAGCCCTACCTGACAGTTAGGAGTCGCTCAGGGAGAACAGGCATATTTCTTACAGAGGGCAGCTTAACAGAATGATTAGACTTCAGCCTAATTGGCAAAATGTATTTAAACAGCAAATAAATTTTGTTCAATAGCCTCAGAATGTATCAGAATTATAAAATTATCAGAAATAAGATCAGCTTGTCGTTCTTATTTAAATGCTTAATAATATTAAATTACTTCTAAATGCTTAATAATTTTAAATTGTTTCAGCTACTGGTTATATTTCATGTTGAATGAATGTCTCATTTATCTTCACCCAAGAGGATGCATCTCTCTGATCTTGTGTTTCTTTGATAGAGCACTTCCATCTTTCCTTGATGAGAAAAATGAGCTGGGTGTTCTTACGTGATCTGCTGAGTGGAGTGAATAAATACTCAACAGGAATTGGAAGAATTTGGGTAGCTGTTGTGTTCCTGTTCCGCTTACTGCTTTATGTTGCTGCCGCAGAAAACATCTGGAAACATGAACACGATGAATTTGAGTGCAATATCAAGCAGCCTGGTTGTGAAAATGTCTGCTTTGACCATTTCTTCCCTGTCTCTCACATCAGATTTTGGGCTTTGCAATTAATCATGGTCTCCACCCCTTCACTCTTGGTTGTCTTTCATGTTGCTTACAGAGAGAACCGAGAGAAAAACCACAACCAGAAACTTTACAAAAATCCAGGAAAGATAGATGGTGGATTGCTGTGCACTTACCTAATCAGCCTCATTTTAAAAACAGGACTTGAAATATTTTTTCTTGTTCTGTTCTATAAATTGTACAACGGATTCAAAATACCACATCTTGTGAAATGTGACATAAAACCATGTCCCAATACTGTAGACTGTTATATTTCCAAACCCACAGAGAAAATGATTTTCCTCTGTTTTCTGGTGGCAACTTCATGCCTGTGCATTGTATTAAATCTAAGTGAACTGAGTTATCTGATGTTCAAATACTCCATAAAATGTTATCTGAAGAGACACGTGAAGAAGCAGCAAGGCTCAAAAGGCAATTGCTGCGAATCAGAACTCATCAGGCACAACAGAGCAGCAGCTGCAGGACGACTCCACAACAGCTCATCATCTTTGCCTCTGAATATGCAAGATGAACATGAAAAACATTCCCCGCTGACTTGAAAGAAGGCTGGAGACCACCCTCCCATTACACAAGCTGTTTTTGACAAATTGCTTTTCCAATCAGTGCTTTGCAGAACTATCCTTTGAAAGGATAGTTACATAGGAAATGCTGTTTCTCTGTTAGTTCCCCATTACTTGAGCTGATAAATTTGGTTACATTATGTATGTCGTACATAGAATCATTGAGACCTTTTCATGTTGAAAAAAGAAATGTAGAAGTTCTGAGAATTCCATGAAGCTTTAATACAAACACAGATGCTTATGATAAATCATGCTGAAACAATTGCTCAAACAGTTGTGTACTGAATATTACACAGAATTGCTTTGGTACAAGAAAAAACAGGCATTTTATATGCAGAGATAGGAAGAACATGGGACTGATTAAGATGAACAGCAAGGGGTGTACAGGATTTGTCAGGTGGGTGGATCAGACCTGGTAACTGCTGAAATGGCAATGGCAAAGTGCTGGTATAGAGTGATTGCTGTGCCTTGAAGTGAGCTGGATAGTCACGAGTCCACTCCATTGTACTATAAAACATCTCAAAAACAGAAGAACCAAGAAGAGGTAGACACATCTAGTTTAGCCCCTGTGATAAAGATTTGGTTATTTAGCTGTTTGTGGAGCACCTCCTTCTGGAATTGAGCCTTTACAGCTATTAGGGTGTTAATAATCTAAAAGTATCCTTTAAGAAAGGCACTTGCTCAAACTTGTGCAAGCAGCATGTGCCAGGGTACAGAGTTAACTCCTGGTCACCTGCACCAAGCAGCTCCCATGTCATTGTCTTCTGTTCTGTGGCATTTAGGTGAACAGATCATTCCTACTTCCCTAGGATCTGAATAGAGAAGTGCAGACCACAAAATATAGCAGAACAATACAGTAGCCAGCAGTCCCTAGTATTAAGTAGCCTAGAATCTGGTCCCTTTAGTAAGGCTGAAAATATGCTACTCCTTCAGTAGATTTCTCTGCTGCAGAGGAACACATGAAATATAAAAATGTGAAAAGCCTCTAGTAGAAACAAAGTAAAAAAGAATCACCTGTTCCCTCCCCCAAATTTCAAAGTACCTCATGAACACCACACACCTCTGCTCTTTGTTATCTGCATTTTTTGGGCTAACAGGAAAGGGACAGAAATCAGCTAAAACATGTCTTCTGTTGAACCTAGGCTTCTAAGACAATGGAAAGTAGTGCCTTAAAACATTCTTCAGGGTAGTGTTCTCTTTCTGTTGTTGGAATGAAAGACCTTTGAGCCTGATCAAAATGCACTGTTTAGAGAAAAGCACCAACTGAAATGGAGCTGCCTGAATGCTGATCTAATTTTATTGTTTGTGCCAGAATAAGGAGAAAGAAACAGTGGCAAAAGCAGGTTAACTACTTTTCTTTTTTTTTTTTTTCCGAGGCCCCTCCGGCCACATGGCTTTGGTTACAAAGCATTACATTTAATGAGTAGCAGGTATAGAACAAAACTTAGCAACTAATGAACAAGCTATGCACTTTTGATGGTGATTTTCAAGGTAGGGTTTGTTGTTTGTTTGGTTTTTTCCCTAAAATAAACCTACTTTTATCAAATATGGGAAGACATTTGCTGCTGCTGAAATTAGCAGCAACAGCAGTCCCTCAGATATCAGCTTGTGGCCAGATAGTTTTAACTCTTGATTGATGCTGAATCAGTGCTTATATAGAGACAGGGCACTTTATACAATTCAGAACATTTTCTGTTAAACCTCTACAAACACAGAAGACTCATGACAGAAATGCAGTTAGAAAGTCTTTTGCAGCTCCTGGACACAGCCCATCAAAGAGTGTCTGAAGCAAAACTGCCCATGAACCCTGTGAAACTGCAACTGCTGCAGCTTAAGTAACTGAGAATAAACCCCAAAATTACCTTGGCCTGTCTGGACCCTCATGCATCATTTTATTAAGACAAGGGAAAAACTATAAAATACAAAAATGTTTCTGAAATATCTGGGTTTTAATAACTGTGGACAGATTTTTAAGAGCACATTATTTATTGAAAACAATAAATATTTATTCATTGTTTTTAAGGTAAGGTTTATTTGATAGAAAATGAAGAGAAGCAAACACAGTTTAGCCAACACAGGTTTCTGATAAAATTAGTGCATTAGCAGCTCTCTAATAAAAAAGTATATTAAATCAGGGCTTGAAGGGTTTTAAAGACCCCCTGAAGCTCAGTGGCTGGTCAGAGATTACCACTTAGACCAAAAATTTTCCCATCAAACAAGAACTCTAATTCTTTGAAATGGATATTCAAAGTTTTATTTTTAATTCTGTCTTCCAACAGCCAAGAAATTATAAATAAATTCCAAAATCAATGTTTTGAGTCTTGGAGGATGCTTGATTTGACAAAGCCAGTACCTTACATGAGAAATATTATGAAAAATTATTATGGACCAACTCCACATAACCCGACTCACTCGCAGCAAATAGCCAAGTAGCCTTCGTATCATGTGCTGCAAAATTTGAGTGTTTGACATGGCTACTAATGAAAAGGAAATGAGCATCACTTAACCTGAGAGAACAGAAACCAATACATCTGCTTTCTGAACCCTTGCTCTTGGCAACCATTTAGTCTTTTATTGGCTCCTTCCCTTTCTCCGCTTTTATACGCCTTTGTTCTCCAGTTTAAGTTTCGCTTATCCATGCACCCCTGAAGGCATTTGCTGTTACATTTTTGGTTCAAAGGAGTTTACAGGTTTGGTCCCTAAACTTCTGAATCACTCAGACTAACATTTTAAAAAATTGAACTCAAGTGCTATGTTCTGCAAGGATATAAGCAATTGATAGGAAGCTGCTCTGAGCCCATACTGTAATGGAGAAATAACATAATCACTGCATGCATGTTCATACAAAAATATTTACCTCATTAGTATTTCAAAACATCCCTGCAAACATCAAAAGATCTGTGTCTAACATAGACTCTAATTTTCCTTAAAATGCAAGTAAGCTTCTTGCCTTGGGACAGAAGAGGTTTGAAAAAAAAGACATTGACAAAATATTTCCCTATTTGCTGATAGTTTCTTTCCTCTACTCCCTTCTCCAGTACCAGTGGCCCCATTTCCTATCCCTTTAATTGTATCATCTCCCTACCATGTCTCCAGGCAGGGCTGAGCAGAGCATGAGCAGGTGCTTCTACAACGTGGGGACCTAAACCCCAGCGTAGCCTGTCCCTGCCCCTGTCCCTCCTCCCCTGCACACAGGTGGGAGCCCCAACCAATTCTTTGGCACAGAAACTAATTGCAACAATTAGCCAACTACTTGCCCCTCACCCAACCCAACAACTGATTCCAGTGCTGCTTGTACAAGCATTGCTCACTTACTATCCAGCATCCCAAACCAAATGTCCCAGCAGAATGCTCTAGAAGCCAACATCTCCCCATCCTGCTGAGAAGGACTACCCTGAAACATGTGGGGATAAACCCACTACTCTTATTTACACTGAATTAGGGCTCAGGTAATAGCAGATTTCTTTACAGACATAGTTGAGTACCAGAGGCTGACTGTCAGTTTAAAGGTGTCTTTTGATCACAAAACAGTCCATGCTCTGCTTCCCCATCAGCGACACCTGCAGCTGTAGTCAACACATTCCTGATGGCAACATGGGGCTTCAAAGAAAGGACCTTGTTTGAATGCTCCACAGTTAATGGGTGACAATTCTGGAAGGCAGAGACATAGAGGAAGGAGAAAGAAAAGGCAGAAGACAGGGAACTGGGCAGTGAGGGCGAGAGCACCTTTAGGGCACCCCAAAGCAGGCTGAAGTGCTGCTGGTACATTTGGCTCAGCCACCTGGGAGCCCCATCCCACTCAGCAGCCCCGAGGGCAGGGCTGTGGCTACAGGCCCAAGAGAGGCTGTGCTACAACTGCTAGGGTGGGAGGTTTTCTCTATCACCCAAGGTAAAACATCTGAATGCAAACACCAAATTTATCTCCTCGGGAGTTTCTGTAGGTGGCTTTACAAACCAGAGTACCCTCTGCAGTCTGTGACATTTTAAATCAGACCCTGCCTTTGGTACATTTTAAGCTCAAAATACTCCTGTTTGCTATTTAAAAAGGAAACAACAAACCCCATACTAGCTTACCTGTTGGACAGGCTGTCAGTAACCACCTAAAAGGGAGTGTGCCATGGAATGTACTAACTATATGGGTATAGCATCTGCTTTAATTGGATTGATTGGGATGAGACAATATTAAATATTTTATTCTCAAAAATTCAGATCCAAATCAGAAATTGCTTCCTGAATATTTATGGCATTGGATTTTTTAATCCTTTTCTCTTTTTTAAATAGCATTCTAGTATAACACTGTGTAGCTAAATAGTTGTATACTATTCTCAGTCCAAGAACTGCAAATTATACAGTATCGATCATTGGGAATGTTGAAACTATTCAACTTACACAACACAAACATTCTTCTAAAGACTAACAGTTGCGAGGTCTGTTGACAGTGGCTGAAGTGGTTAGGTACAGCTGAAAACAAGAGAATTCAGGTGAGCTTTGAGGATCCTCTCCTGAGGATCTCTGCCCTCTTCTCCCCTGCAGAAGTTCCCCGTACAGTCACCGTCGCTGGTATCCAACAGCAGCTCCATCCAGGGGGACCAGCAGCCTCTGGCAGGTAGAAAATGGCACTGTGTACTTGTAATGATTATAATGATCGCTCTTAGAGTCACAATACAAGGGTTTGTTTTGGTTTTATCATTCTCAGACTGCACCTTTGATTTACTAACGTGGCATAACAAGAGTTTGGTCACTTGGGAGGGATGGAAAGTGAGAGGAGCTGACGGGCTCTGTTCAAATGGAAGCACGGGCTTTCTGCGAAGGTAAGCAATTTAGCACCATGTAGCAAACCAAGGGCTGTGCCCCAGGTCAAATGCCGCTGCTGTTCACACATAATCCTCACTCTCGCAATAAGTCACTTCATTTGGTTGTAGGAAGGTGCTCTCTGCACTGATATTTAGGAAAACTGTCAGAGATTCCAGGTGAATAGCTTACAAGCAGTCAAATCTAGCACTTAATGCAAAAGCTTTACACAGCAAGACAAGTTTATAGAAAAAAAAAATCAAGCCAATCTCACCCAAGATAAAGACTGTTTTATATTACTGAAGGTAGGTCACATCCAGTAACGATAATAATCCAAGAAAAGTTTTTAGTACCACACAATCCAGCTGGCTGAGTCAAACATAACCACACACGAAAACCAACACTGAAGATTCCTGGGTACTGACAGCTCCCACCAATGCATTCACACTTTTGGTTACTCAACAAACGGGATACCTGTCATTTCAGTTAGCAGCATACAGAGGAATTGCTCCAATCCCGGCACTACAAGCAGCACCAGCAGCTTCTGAGGCTCGTTCCAGTGTGGAAAAGAGAGGTTGTGACTGGTGCCACATGCAGTAAGCGAGAGGCAGAGGAGCGCAAAGGGAGCCCATGCCACCAACAGAGCACGACCACCGAGTTTATCTGTAAGACCACCATCTCACTTCCCTTTCAGAAAGTGCCTTGTTTATTTAGTTTTCAATGGTATGGCATAAGGACTCGTGTATTTTATAGATAGATACCAAACTGGTATTATCAAAATAAACCCATCTGTTTTATAAACCCACTATTTACAAAAACGGTTTCTGAAGTTTTTTTGTTTTGTTTTGTTTTTTTAACAAAAATTAAACTATACACCAATCTAAGTTACAGAAACAAAAATAACCTTTATAAGATCACATGTATAAAACAAGAAATGAAATGTGTTTTTATTTAAGGCAATACTGGGCTACTTCACAAATCACCACCTCAAATATATACACTGCTCCACACTACTAATTTTCTATCACATTCACAATGGATTCTTTAATACCAAATATTGTTTTAAATCTTCAATGTAGCAAACTATTTTTATTCACATTTCCATTTTTATTATGGAATCATAAATGCTTTGTAACCAATTAAAAGCAATGAAAAATGTAGCTATAAGAAAACTATTATATTTATGTGTTAACTACATATGAATATCATCCATAGATACTGGATGTTAAAATTTACAAAAATGAGAGTGTGTCAGTACGTTTAACCTATGAAATGTGATCTTATCCAGCTTTTCTTCTGTAAATAAATGTTTTATGCAAAATAAACTGGATATGGCAGACTTAGCTAGCTTTAGTTCAAAAGTTCTTAATTTAAAATGATTAAAGGACAGTTTTAAAAACTTGCTCACTTAGTTACAAATTAAAAGTCCGAATATAAATGTGTCATTTAATAGTTTAGACTTACAGACTGCTGGTGGCAGCAAATGATTTACAATAATAAATATATACAAAAAAATGTATCTACAAATAAAGAAAATTGTTATACATGAGAAGTAACCTGGTGAAAGATACCAATCACAGACAACTCACAAAGATTTCGTTTATGGAAAGGACAATCTGATAGAAAGTTGAGGTCTTGATCAAGTATTTACAAAACTGAAGCAATTACTTTCTTCAAGTCCCATAGGGATAAAAACAAATAAGACATTTACATGACTCATGTCATGTTTTTTGCTAGATTAAATCACTTCAAAATAAAAGAGCTCCACAGTTACTAGCATGCTTGATCGCTTCCTATTCAAAATAAATTCTATTACAGGTCATGGTTAAACACATTAGGTTTTCAGTATTTTGATTCCCCTTCCTCAGTACCCAAAACAATTACTTTTGCAGCTATAACCTCTGGATTATCCTCCCAACGTCCTTCGAGCTTTCTCAAACTGACCACAGGTTTCATTTCCTGAAGCTGCTTCAACAGACGCTCAGTGCAGTCTTTAAGAGTCTTGTCTAACACTATCTTTACATTATCACCACATGGAAGCTGTGATGGGTTGGCAAACACTACAAGGGTTTCAGTTTCAGAACACAACCCACAGACGTTATCGCTTGCTACGGGGGCCTTCTCGCTGGCTTTCCGAGAGTTTGAATGGGACCCTTTTTTGGTTCCACTGCTATGGTATTCTCTTTCAGAGTTTTTCTTTTGCTTCACAGCAGATTCTTCAAGGAACTTGAGGAACGACACTTCAAAACCCATTGGCTTGAACGAGCTCCAGTCAAAAGCTGCAGGTTGCTCCTCGGCCGTTTGAATGGCAACAGCAGTCTCTTCCTCCTTGTGCAGGTTACTCACACCACTGGGCAGTGCCTCCTCTGTTTTCTCAGCTCTCTTTCTCTTACTCTGAGATACATTTTTTTCTTTATTTGCTCTTTTCAGGTTGTTTGATTTTTGCTTCTCTGAGGGGCAGGAGCTGGTCTCCTGCAAGTCACTATTTACACTGGAAGAGATTTTTGCTTGATTTTCAGCAGTTGAAGAATCCTCATTAATTAGTTTAGTAATGAATAGTTCTGTCAGTTCATCCACTTCATCCTTCTCACCTTTTTCAGTTTCCTTTTGTGATAAGGTAGTTGTGCTTGAATCATTATTGCTCGCTGTCAAACTCGGTTCAGGCTCTTTCACATCAGTTTTTTTATCAGTTTCCTCCTGCTCACAAGAGGCTTCCTTTACTTGGGAGACAGAGTGTTTTTTAGATACAATAAGAAGATTCCTGTGTTGGGAAGTAAAAGCTTTGGACAGTTTGTGACATTTATAATGCCTTATTATGTTACTTTCACTTGTGACTACGGATGAGCATCCCTTTATCATACAGGGATACTGAGTTATGAACCTGCTGGTACATTCCGATAAGGCATCGTTTCTGGCCTTTATTAAATACACGTACTTGCCGCGCTTCAGTGAATAAGCCTTATTTTCCTGAACCTGTATTCCTTTTGAGTTTTTGTTTTCCAAGTTCACGTTTTTCTTTCGTTTTGTTTTCACTGACAGCCTGTTGCCCTCTTTTCCCGATCTGTTTTTGAGTCCTCTCTGTTTAGACCTCAACGGTTTCTCCTGATTTGCTTTGCTTGAAATGTTTTCCTGGCCTGGTGTCAGCCTCCTGGGTCTTATTAGATGATCTTTATGCCTGTCATTATGTTTGTTAAAAATATGCCTCAAGAGGTTAGACCTAGTAGCATAAATACGGTCACAGCCTTCACAGTCACACTTGAACATGCCATCATCTTCTACTTTGTTTGGCTTTATCTCAACACTGTGCTCCGTCTCAAGATGCACGACATAATTAAGATATGCTGTAAACGAAGACTTACACTGAGACTGGTCACAAAAAAACCTTCCCACCTCTGGAGCTGATTTCATGCTTCCAATTTGCTCTGGGGTCATGTCATGAAGCTTCATATAATGCTGTATCAAGCTGGTAACTTCCTGGAAGATACGAGAGCAGTCGTTCACCTCACACCTGAACTCTCTGACAGCAGGTTTGGTTTCCACTTCCTCACGTTCCTCTCTGCCTTGCTCATTCTCCTCCTCCACTTCAGCAGAAAAAGCAGGGAGGTCTGATTTGTGCACAGCCTGGTAATGAAGAATGAGGTTTTGTTGTATTGTGAAAGCTGCAAAGCAGCCCTGATGGACGCACCGGTACGGTCTGTAAGGGCTGTACCTAGTGGGAAACTCCAGAGATTTTGTTACAGGCTTCCTACCATTCCTCTCCTCTTTCTCCTTCCTGTGCTTCCTAGCCTTGCGTACTTTGGCTTGTTCTTGCATACCATCAAAAGATGCTGGATTGTGCTGCTCCAGTGGCACAGAAACCACCTGGGGAGGTTTTTCCAGTCTTTCAGGAATATTATTTTCTGGTAGAAGTTTTTCCAATACTTTTACAGGCTCTACAGCTTCCTTTATCTGAGTTTCTTTGACCAATGGAGCTACAGTTTTGTTTTCTATTACTAGTGTCTGCACAGTTTTTATTTCAACAGGCTGTGGGGCTGTGTTTACGGTTTCATTTTGAGATCTTCTGCCATAAGGCCTCTTAATTTTTAATTTTACCATCTCCTCTGTTGTAAAATGATGTACAAGCTGACAGTGTGCTCGGAGATTAGAGTTTCTTGTGAATGTTTTTGGACAGGTAGCTACAACACATTTGAAAGGGGCATACTTCAGTTGATGTTTCTTTATTTCTAGTATCATTTCTGCAGTGTACTGATGGATCTTGCCATAGTGTTTAAATAATGCGTCTTTTGTCATAGCACTGTAACTGCAGCCAGGATTCTGACATACAAAAGGTTTATTAACTCTATCACTAAATTGAATGTTACTTGCCTCTGGAGATAGCTGGATGAGGGGTTTATTTTCAAGTGATACAACAGGAACGGCTGGTGCTAGCTTATCTGCTGGAGGACACTGAGAAACAGTCTCAGAGATTGGAACGGGAGAATCATCTTCCAGCTTCAGTTTTTGCAAGCCTTCCAAAATTTCCGACATTTGAGTATCATCCTTGTGAGGTATCTCAGCCTGAGCAGAGCTACCCTTTGCAGCAGTAACATTCCCTGTGTGCACAGCGAACTGTGTAGAAGTAGGTAGTTTTACACTGTGTGCTGAATTTTCTGAAGCAGCCTGGGTGTTATTTACTTGCAAGTTCTGTCCTGAAGCAGCAACAGTATCCTGAATTTCAGTTTTCACCTCAAGCATCTGTGAATTCATAGCAGTTTTAATTATTTCCAGGGTTTTTTCGAAGTTCTGCATAACACTGTCCTGTGAAATCTGTTGTTCCAAATTTGCCTGCACACAAGAATTTGCAGCCATCATTTGGGAATCCCCATTTTCAGTTTTTACTGTTAAAGGGGGCAGAACTGTATGAGCCTCAAGGTTTGTTTTGAAATTATCTTTGATACTGGCCATGAATAACTGATTGTCAACATTACTGAGTTTCTGTGCAAGGTTTTCCACCACTGTTTGAGAGCCACAATTTGCCAGCAAGTTGGACTGAAAACTTTCTCCCTGTATTTGCATGTTTCCTTCAGTGCTTTTGGTTAGAAGTCCCATTACTGTTGCATTGTTTACTGCTAATTTCTGCGATGTGTTGGGCACAAGCAGGGGTGTAGGTGTTTTTCTCTTCCTCTTTGAGGAGCTGGTTCCCTTCTTATTCAAGTTGCTTGATCCCGAATTCTTGGGACTACTTATAACTGAAACTCGTGAACTGTTCCCTGCAAAGTTTTGTGCTGCTGCAACAGTGTTAGAATATGAGCTAGGACACAAGCCATTTTCAACAGTCTTTAGCATTAAGTCCTCTGTTGCGAAAACAGGCAAAGTCTTGCATTCATTTAATGGAGGAATTTTGGCATTGAGGGTCCTGTTTTGGTCTGTCAGCAGGGTACTGGGGTTACAGACTGTCTGCAGCAGAGAGGGTGTGGCTGAGCTGGGGAGAACGGCTGCATTCATCTGAGTTGTACCAGAGACACAACTTGTTGTAACCACACGTGGAAGTACTTCTGTGTTATCAAAGCTACTCGGGATGCCTGCAGTTTCCAAGGCTTGCTTTATAATTTGATTACCTTCCTCATTCCCACTGGTATTAAAGTTAGTCACATTGGCCCGTGGAAACATAGTCTGCAGTGCAGAACGATTTTCGGCTGCAAGTAACTGGAGGAAAGATGGATCTTTAAAACACGTCTCTGGATTGAAGGCAGAC